TACAACCTTGGGTTGTAAAATGAAAACAAAAAATGCTGATCCCCTCAATAGAAAAGTAACCTGCACCTACCCCGATAATTATGACCACGTTCCGGTGGGATGCACGTATCGTGTGGCCCCATTTAATAAAATAATAATAATAATAATAATAATAATAATAATAATAATAATAATAACAACAATAATTCCTAAGACGATAAATGACACATGTGCCGGGAACATCTAGACACCATTTACAACATCGCAGATTGTTCAATTCTAGCTAAGACAGAATACTTGAAAAGACACAAAAAGGTGTGTAGTTTCCTCCAGTGACAGATCTGTACCGCCCTCAAAGTTTTAAACACATATTCTAAGTGGTACGAACACTCACCAAACGTGACGTCTGATGGATTGTATATCGTATTGCACTACCAGCAAATTCAAACTGATCACACGATTGTGGCAAAGAAGCCGGCTATTGTTATCCGGTTTTGGAGAAAAAACATGTAGATGTTACTGTACCGTGCGATCAAAACGTCGTAACCAAATAGGCAGAGAAATGTCTTAGAAGTGTGTGGAAGTGAAGTGTTTGGAAATCGAGATCAGCTCAATGGGTCGTAAAAGCACAGCTCGTTCCAATAATTATCGGAGCTCTGGGAAAATTTTGATTAATAACTGGCTAAGCTCCCAGGTCCTTCAAAAGACTGGGAAGCGAACAACATTGCTTTGTTTGGAACAGCCCACATTTTGCGCAAAATAATATCTGGAGTAGATTTTATATTCAACTGACTCATAACATCTTTAGTAATGGATTAGAGGAATAATAATAATAATAATAATAATAATAGTAATAATAATAATAATAATAATAATAATAATAATAATAATACATTTACAATACCATTATTTTTAACGGTAATTTATTTTCAGTGAGAGTAGGAGAGAACCTACCGAGTGTCATAAGAAAGGGAGATGGGCTACAGCCCCTTAAGTGCTTCCCCCAAGATTCGTGCCTGGAGACCGATCTCACAAATCGTAACAAGAGTTCCAAGAGTAGATACCAATAGCAGTCGAAACTCTAATAGTAGCGTTGCATACGAAACTACTACCGCAAAAAAGTCATTTTCATTATTGTAGTTGTAGGAGGACGATGAAAAAAATTGAACATTTGCAATTTTCGAAATGAAAGAAGTTGAGACATGCACCATTTTTACAGGCTTTAGGCCCCCAAAAAGTATTCCAAAAATTTTCAAACCAATTTTGAGACAATTTTAAAAACGTTTGTAAGACTTCATGAAAAATCCCCTACGATCAAAATGTTCGTTTCAAATTCACAGGACCTTGAGTTCGGTCAGATTGATTGGAGAATATTAATTTTAAAGAAAATCGCCTTAACGGTTCAGGCGCTACCGAAGGACGCATAGGCATACGTTTTACCGTAAACCAATTTTTCGGGATCGAGGTCCCCCAAAACATGGATTCTGAGTGCAAAAAGTGTTTACGGAAGTAATTTAATACCTATAAGGATAAAATGTATCGAGTTTTTTAATATTTCTGAATCCAGTTCTTTTGTGACGAAAAATTATTATTATAATAATTCATTAAGTAAGCACGTAGAAGGCGAGAGTAGCGTAGGCGTAGTAGACGAGCAACTAGTAGTTCTACAACATCATATAGTACTTTTCATACTTACATAATTTGTAAATTTTACAAAATTCGTAGTTAAACCACGAAGGAGTAATACTAGGAGGAGAAACTCCCGGTTTTCAATAGAATCCAACTGATGTCACTACAGTCCCTCTGGGGTCCTAGGTTCAAGTCCCAACGGTGGCAGGATTTTTGACATTGGCTTGTTAGCTAGGTCAGTCCGTCTGGAGGAGAATTGTAGCGGCCGGCTCTGATCGGTTGTTTTCCGTGGTTTCTTCGATCAATACCAGGCTAATCAATGCCGGAGCAGTATCTTAACACACGGGCCACGGACCGCGCGCGATCTCACCTCCTCTTCCTTGTCCTATCTCACCCCTTACACACACATACACATTTATACTAATATGCACTACACTACCACACATGCCGGGAGACAGGTCGGGAGCTTAGGGTTTGTCCCGGCTTGGGAGGTTCCCTGCTGGTGGGAGACACCTGGTTGGAGAAAACCCCGCTAGCCATTGGTAGGTAGGCGCCGGATCTCGCCATACAGAGAGGGAACGACCACAGCAACCTCAAGAGCAAAACCATGCTCTGCACTAACGGGAATAATGACCCTGGTAGCTGACGTGCCAGGAATCACTAAACAATCAATCAACACAATTGCTTTCGTGTAGTCGATGCAGCTGCCATCTGGTCAGTCGTATTGAAAAACTCTCGCAATAACCGTGAACAAACGAGAAGTTGCGGGGAAAGTTGTTCTGCAGTTGTAACACGGTGAAAGAAATGTTATTTTATACCATGAGTTGTAGTGAACATTTGATGCATTCACATTTAAAAATATTTTATCAACGAAAATTGCTTACCAAATTTGAGAGCGATAACTACGAGAGAAGAACACGTAAAAGGTAAGCCCTGCCGATCTTATACAATAGAATTTCGTACATGTACTTAACTGGTACATGGTACTACATGGTACTTGGTACCAAGTACGTACTATATACTATGTAATATAAACTTATTTTCAGATGAAAATTAGGCTGATTGGAAGATTTGTCCCTAGTTTCATAACTTGATCATTAGTTAATTAAAGTATATGAACTGTGTACGTTAGTACATTAAAACCAATAGTAAATCAGTTGACGATATGCAAATTGTTTTTAATTTCCAACACTGAAACTCAAAAGCCTCATGCATCTAAATCTAAAATTTGTGCTTGGATCATATATGGAATGCATTAAAAGGTTGTTATTCTATATGTAGGAATGAAGACTATGAAGGCATACGATGCATTCATTCTCGCATCGCATTCATATAAATATCAATATGAAACACTGTTAGTACCAAACAAAGCAAATTAAATATTTTTAAAAAAATATATAGCTACATATGAAACTTTTTATATATTGAAGCTGTTTTTGTGGATATGTTACATTCATTTTAACTGTATTAAATATAAAGAAATTGTAAAGTTACAAAAAAAATTAACAAAGGAAATAAAACTGTTTCAAATACGACGTAGTTAAAATGAAACTATGTTATAACCAACAGAACATTTGTTAAAATTTTGTTTTTGTTTGCTGAAAAGGGAGTGAAGAAATTCATTAATACTCAGAAAGCAATCTAATCGATTCTATTTGGAAACTAGAAGTGCTAAAACAGCACATTCTGTTACGCCCTTTAGAAACGCTTATGTAATAATAAATATATTATACTTCAATTTTTGCCCATATCATTACATCTCAGTAAATGAGCGCTGACTACATAGCGCACATGCAGCGATGGGCGCTGCCAACAATGGCACATATTTTCTTATAACGTCTTGCTAAAATCAGCATTCTTGCATCAAATGGAAGTGTTTTCAATTTGCATTATGTGTGGTTTAAAGTTTTAATAAGATGTTCATTATGGAATACTTCTGTTTATTTCGAATACAAAAAATATTTCTCGCCATTCTGCAAGATATTCTAAGTTCATTATTATATTTTTAATTTTCTTTTAAATAAAGGCTTACAACCAAATTAAACCATAATTAGTTAATAATTTAATCTGTTAGGTGTCCCAGAGAGCAGTAAAGCAGAAAACCCGCAAAAAGGTATCATTTTTCTACCAACTCGCTTTCAAAAACGGTTAATAATAATAATAATAATAATAATAATAATAATAATAATAATAATAATAATAAATATGAAATAGTACACGAACGAATACTTACTATTACAAACAAGTTTTTTTTATATTTCCAGCAGATCATACAGAGAAGCAAGGATACTTTCACAAATAAATTGAACATTCAGTAATAAATGTAATTCATTGAACTCGATCGATTGAGACGCGGCTCACGCCGGACAGCCAAGTATCCAATGTCGTTTATCGTATTCTAGCCATTTCACTGCATGGTAAAGTGGTATTACCGATACC